GCAACCCTGCGCCGCATACTGCCAGTTAGACGTCTGATTTGTTGAAGCGTTATTGAAGCCTATGTAGATTTATGTAAGGATTCTCTTTCTTTTTATAACTGTTGTTACCCCTTTTCTTAATTTCAAGTATTTTTGTTACCTCTTTAATTTCATTTCTACTCTTATTTCTCATAACCTCTTTTACCTTGTTTTCTCCTACTCTAAATTACTTATTTTTCTTAAATCTACTGTTACTACTCTGCTTTCTTCCTCACTTATCAGTGTTACTTTCCTTACTATTATATTGTTGTTTAGGGACTATATTAGTTTCCCTACTGTTAATTTCCAACTTTGCAGAAGCTGTGCCTCAAAACTGTTATGTCTCTATTTCCTCTACTACATGCAGGTCTACAAAGGTATCAGGTTATTTTGCCTTCTAATAGCACTATCTCTGTCTCTGTTTGCAGTTTTTGTGTGACTGAGATTTCTGTATCATTATATCTGAATACATTTACTCCTAATATTCCAACAGCTTGTAGATCTACTTATCACAGAAAAAGAAAGGGTAGTTTTTCCTAATACTTTAACAGGGTGACTCATTATCTAATGATTTTGGATAAGGTTTTAATAGATCCATGCTCGACAGCAAAGTTTATTCCCTCTATTTCTAACCTAACCATTAGAGGGAATATCATTGACACTAAATATTCTGTGATGTTTTTACTTCTGGGATGATTTTCAGCTTGTCCCCCTGGCAAATGTCATGATTTTTGGAGTTGCCCCTCTGATATGCCAGGTGGGTTTATTATGGGAGTACCACATATCCTGGTGCTTCTACCAGTACTTTGGTTTGTTTCTATTAATTATCTTCTGGACTCTACAGTTCGCTGCAGTATATCCTAACATTCTGCAGTTGCATCAATTTTTTTTTCTTTTACTCATGCCTCTGTCAGCATACAACTTTTAGTATACCTGTGGGAGATTCTCTGAACTCTTTGGAAGCCCTAATAAATCTTTTAGCTTCACCTGAAGACCAATCTTAAGATATATGCTTTTTGAAGATCTGACAAGTGTAATATTCTAGTTGCTTCATCTATGACATCTAAGAAACATTGTATGGACTCATTGATTTTGCCTTAAAATAATGGGACAGCACCTGTTAGCCCTTTAGATGTGCTCTATCTAACAAGTGTGACTAAATTTTCTGCATTATTGGCACTTGGGCTATGAATATGCCCTTTTTTCAACAGTGGTGTTAATATTTTAGTATGGGCTTTTGTGCCTCATTTAAGTTCAGTTTTGATATATTCATCTACAATAGCCAGTTCTAAGTAGTACTCAGTTTAATTATAACTATATCTTAGTCTACTCTTTTATTCTTTCTCTTAAACTTGAAGGTAGATGACACTATTCCTTTAGAATAATAGTTTTTGACCCTGCCAGAAGAACAGTTAGCCTATATACTGTACCAACTTGTAATTAGTGAGCCTTGATTGACAAGTTTGTTCAGTTCTTAGGAACATTTATAGTGGGAGTTAGAACCAGTAGAGAGAGTGACTGTGCAATACAAACAAAACATTTATTATATATATTAAAATAAAATGCAGTTTGCTTGAGTGCACTTTAATTCATAAATCATTATAATCACTGTTTATACATATGTGTATATATATATATATACGTGTGTTTGTATGCACACTCAGAATGTTTTCAATAATCACACTTTCATAAATTCACTTCAATCGGATACCTTTTTATAACATTCATCTCTTTACAAGTTAGTCCTTACTTTTATTTGTTTAGTACTGTACATATATAAATAAATATACACTTACTGCTAATGAAGATGCTGAGAATGCTGCATTGCTATCTTGTGGTATCAAAGGAGTTGATGTTTTGATTTCTTTTTTAATGATTCTGAAATCTTACTGATTGTTTATGCATTAGCTTTCATAGTATCTGCGTTTGCATGGTCAGATGGGTGATTCTCATATGAAATAATTGTTTTACCAGGAACTATCATTATTTTCATAAAGGAATAGAAAGTGTAAAAAATGTATTGTTTACAATAGTTTTTCTATTATTACTTTACTACCTTTTAATTGATTTTTAAATACAGTGTACACTCATTGTAAAATGAGTGTTATGTCCTCAAATTATCATTTTATGTGTTGAGAAATTAAATCAAAAATATCTTGAAATCAAACAACCACAAATTTCAGTGTTTATAACATTCAAATTGGTATTTAGAATAGAAACTTTTAAAGATAAAAGGAAAAAATTAACAAACTTCAAAGTTTGTACCTTGTTTATCAATATGTTTGTTCTCAATGTGGACACGATTATGTGAGATCTTCCAAGCATCATTTAAAGCAGAGTATGAAAGAGCATCTAAAGCCTAGTACTGTTAATTTTTCAAATATCTACAAACATCTAGATCAGGAATATGACAGAACTGCTGATGAAAAGAACTTTATCATAATATACAGTTCTATCAATGAACAAGATGTAAGAATTAAAGAGGATCTAATGATCAAGAAACTAAAACTATTACTGATCTGTAATTCATCAGCAATAGAAATTGTTCATCATTGGAAAAAAAACTTAAATGAGCATTGTTGAGTCTGAATTAGCATGATAGTTTTAACAGAAGAAAATCAGGATCACAAAATCTTTCAAAAATAGGTTGATCAACTGAGCAACTGGAATGAGACATCGTGGTTGCCTGTAACAAATTTTGGACTACCATCATTTTATTTTACTTCATACTTTTTAGTTCTTACTCTTTACAGCTTTTTCTCTGGAACTCCGTTTATGGCGAATTAATAACGTGGTTGAACTTGTTTCTTACGATCAACACCTTTAATCTGATGACATAATTGTGACATATGCTGTACTGAGCCTCTCTTGTAAGGAAGATACAGCTGTGTTTGCTGGAAACTCTGTTCCAGGTTCCATTTAATGACATAAGTGCATGTGGCCAAACAAGTGATGT